TAGGGGCGGCCGGGCGGGGCCCACCCCTGCCGCCAGGGTGGGCGCTTTGCAAAAATGCACTATAAATACTGCATTAAATGATAGCTGAGCTTCATCAGGAGCGCTGGAAACAGCTGAATTCTGTTAAAATACAAAACGAGGCAAGCTGTTGAACTCCAACTTTGATTTAGAACATAAAGTGGGCAAGAGCAGCGAGCACAGATATGACAACTGTGGCTGGGCTCTTCAAAGAAAAAAAAAAAAAAACACACACACACTATTTCAGAAGGTGCTGTGACCCCTTTAACAGAAGAGCTCAGTTCCAGCACTCCCACTAGCGCAGCACAGAGGAAGAGGAAGTTTTGTACTCAGAGGTTTGGCATTTTCATGGAAACACAAGTTACGCTAAAAGGGGATCATGCTACCAGAGTAATCAATTTTTAAAAATGACATAAATAACAGTCTTAGAGGAGGAGGAGTCTTCTAAGGCATAGTAAAATCATCACGTACATGACAGTGAGAAATACAGCATTATACAGTGTGTATATATAAAATAGTATAAGTATCCAAAGAGAGATATTTTGAAAAAATGCAAGTCCAAGAAGATGAACTGTAAAAAACTATTTCTTAATTAAATCCTTTAAAATGCTAATGCACATACATGGCATTAACTTTCTAAATGGCAGAAAAAACTAAACCATTAAAAATGTATTTAAGTTTAATTGAATACAATTTCAAACAGTGCAGATTTCATCACAAATTTTACTGCTTGGTAATTTCTTTTAAAACAATAAATAGTTCACTGAGAGCATTAACACACAAATTTTAAAATTACATATGTACAAAGACTTTGGGTATTGGACACTTCTCACATCTTCAAAGTTTCCATTACAAAGAAACATACTGTATTACCTACTGTTTTGAAAACCTCAGAAACAAGGCACAGAAAAGCAAATACAAAAAGACTTCCCGAGAACGTTTGGAACGTTCAAGCAATTCGGCGTAACAGAGCATAGCAGTCAAAAAGGGCAAATTATAAAGTATCTGAAAAAAATTAAATAACTGTTAAATAATGTAACTAATCTGATTTAATCCTGTGAGGCACACTTACTCTCCTATAAGATGCTGCACATGCTTAGATGGCGGTAGTTAAGCACCTTGTAGGCCTTGGGCCTCTTACACTTTGAAGTAACAATTGTTTCATCATATAAAATTATATTTTTCAAATTAGTGCAAAGCCTCAGGTAAAATATAATTAAAGAGTATCAAAGTAGACCCTTAGTGTAGCTGTAATGGAATGCTTACAAAATCCCAAAGTGCTCATATTAAACCTCCATAGGTTAACTCTTAGTCACACTTCAGAATTCTTTCAACTTATAACTCATGCTTTGTTAAAAATAACAAAATAAATATAGGAATTAGATTAAGTAGAGAAAAAGGTATGATGTTCTGCATCTTATGTAAAACCTTTAAAAATCCAAAAAGTATACTGGATGCCAAAAAGTTTCTGTAGAAGTTATTAAATAGCAGATTACTGTTAGTGTAATAAGACAATATTTAAAATAAGGCTATGTTTAATTAAAAAGTTTGCTAAACTAGGAATGCTGAAAAAAGTGCAAAAGATTCCCCAAATACACACCTTCATTTCCAAGGCAAGCATTACTCCTGCCATTTACAATGGCTTGCATTGGTTTGTCAGCCTGCCTTGTAATACCTCAGATACCTATAGCAAAACATGTTTATTAGAGGCAAATTAAAGATATGGGTTTCAAACCTGTAACTTCACCCAAATCAATGGAATTATCCATTAACAGCATTATTCCTGTGCATGTTTGAGGGATCAAGGCCCTAAGTCTGTAACATTTGATTATTTTAACACAGTTCACTCATTTTCTTAGTATTTCCTAAACAGAAGTCCTCTGCTGGCAACTAGCTGGTCACAGCTGATTTGCTTACCAATAAAATTCTTGTAACATATGGGTAACAAGGATGGTATTTTTAAAAAGTGCTTGACATTGGTCCATAAAAACAACATGTATATGCTAGCTAAGACAGAACGTTTTGCTCTGTGGTGGATATCCTGCACCTGATGTTGATTGGTGCAATGTTAATTTGCTTGAGGGTGAAAAAAAACAGCTGAGTCTACAGAGGAGAATGTCACCTTCATAGAGAAAATAATTTAAAGTTTTACAGTCACAACACATGCTCCAGCTCTTCCTAAGCACAATGGTGCAACCTGCAAGAAAAAAAAAAAAGATAAATAGATAAATGCAGTCTGCCTTAATTATTTTTTCTAAAATTGACCATGGTTAACAATTGCAATAATAGTTCTAGAGCTGCAGTAAAGATGCGATATCATCCACATATTCTTTAACTTGACTTAAAAAAAATTAACAAATTGAGACAAAATTTGGTATAAAACCCCTCAGAAAAGGAGAAGATATTTTATGATAGGGTGAAACTCCTTGAAATCAACAGCAAAACTCAAGAATATTAAACAACTCTTAATTTCAACCACCTGGTATTACAGGAAAAAGAATCCTTTGTTGTGAATTACTTATCAAACCGGATAACTGACCGAGACATCTGACAACTGACTAGCAAATTTTCTCTCAACCAGAGAATCCCAAACATGACAGGGGCTTTGATACAAAGACTGTTAGGTGGGTGGTGAACTTACATAAGAACAACACATCTTCAAGAAGAGCTAACAGGTAAATACCATATGTTTCTCCTTCCATACGTACATCCACATGTAGCGTATGAAAACACACATTGGCCCACATTGCTGGAAAACAACTTCTGAGGTCCTAACAAAATAAAGGCTGAAAAGCAGTCCTTTCAAAGAGGCAGTATTCTGAAGCTTCAGCAAGAGCATACCGCTTCAACAGAGTGCCGGCTGTGCACATCCCAGCTACAGTGGATCTCTGTCCCACAGGAAACCTGCTGTTACTGCTTGAGCTCTAGCAGAATGAGCTCTTACTTGTACAGGAGATTCCCTTCTTGGCTGTGTCACAGCACGTCTTCAGACGGTCAATTATCCCCTGAGAAATCCTGAACGGTTAAATAGGACCTTTGCTTTAGACCACTCAGCAAGTGACAAAAATGGCCTGGAGACCTTCTAAAGGGCCTCGTGCTGCCAGTGTAAAAAGGCACGGCATGCCTGCAACCAGAGAACGCCAGAGATCAGTACTAGAGATATGTGGCTTAGGGAGCGGAGATGGAGGGGCACATAGGCATTTCCTGACTTTGGTGAAATTCTGACATCCCCCCTAAGTAAAATCTTTGCGTGGATTTTAAACCCAATCTTAAAGAAAAAAAATCTAAGAAGGATCAGCTAAAGTCTGAACTGCTTTATTCTCCTTGCAGAAAATCACTGTGACCAGAAATACTATTTTTATTGACAATGAAGAAAAGAAATATGTTACCAGTGGTTCAAATGGCTTTCCCATCAGAGATATCAGATTTAGGTCTCACTGTGGGAAAGGAAGCCAGAAAGAAAAAACAGTAATTAAACCCTTCAAAAACCTACTGGTAATACAATGAGAACGTGGCAAATCCTTAAAGTATAGGCATGCAGGACCAAGACAGCAGCAAGGTGCACCATGAGTGAAATAGGAATAAAAATACAACAGTTCTTTACATTCAATCAAAAGCCCAGAATTACTGTCAAACATAAGAAGATGAGAGGACATGATTTAGCTGTCTTCCATGCCATGAGAAGGTAACTTTTCTCTGCCTGAGTTTTCCTATTTATATAGATTTTTTTTTTAAACTGTTGATAAGAATATTTCTAACAGGAAAAAAAAACAAACCAAACCAACTGTGTTGGCACTTCAAGACTCACTCAACGTACAAGGCACAGGATGAAAAGTGAAATTCAGATGCCAAAGACTTCCTGAGTACATTGAAAAAAGACCATGCAATAGCAGAAAAGCAGTTGCATTTCTTGAATAAGAAAAACTGCATAGGCCAAACTGGGGACAGAAAATCGTCAGCAGTATTTTACTTGGCTAACCTTGAGCACCACCCTGAGAAAGAGCAGAAATGAAGGAAACATATCAACATATCAATATGGACTAGCTACATAGGCAATTCAACCCTGGGAACAAAGCAGTTCTGGGGCAGAACTGTGGACATTACTAGGTCATTGCTAAGGAAAAGAAGTTAATCTCAGGATGGCCTCAGTCATCTGTAACTGTTGCCAAAACCTTGTTGCAAACCCCACATTTACGATCCAGTCTCCCGAAATTTTAAGATGATTAAGTCTGTCTTTTAGAACTCTTAATACCACCATAAGGTAAACTGCTAACAAATAAGTCTAATAGCGTAGAGTATTCAGTCCAGCCTGACTACTTTAAATCGTTGAAAATACCTCACAAAATGCTCGGTTTTGGTATAGAACATTACAGTGGTATCACTGATCTACATGTACTGACATGTAACACATGGTAGAAGCGTACAAACATATCTAAACTCTCTCTGAATCTTCGCGTATTTTCTGCAAATTGCACGCACAGGCCTTAACACTTGAAGTCTCAGACTAGCAAAATGAGCTTCCCAGCAGAGAAGTCAGATTTCCTGGATGAAGTGGAAAAATCTAAGATATTGTTTGGGATCTGCCACCAACAGATGGAATCACAATTTGGGATAGACAGTGCCACGTGCATTCAATAATCAGCAGGAATACTGACCACTCAAACTTGCGTTTGCCAAACTTCACGTTCTAAGTCTTCATTTATTCTAGGAGGTAACAAGCTGCACAAGAAAAGCAGCTTAGCTTTCTAAGCTTAGTTTTCTTGTGTTTCTTATGACACAAGAAAACTAAAAGAGTAGCCTTACTGTGATAGCAGGACAACACTCCAAGCCTGTTGTGAGATTTACTGGGGATTATAGCAGTCCTATCACAGAAAGACTCCGGTTGCTATTAAGCCCAGTTCCAAGTCTTTTAGTTCCAAGCAGCGACTGGAAATAGTGTACTATTTTCACATACTTACGCTGAAAACAAACAAAACTAGAATGTTTAGAGGGGAGGCTGACAGAATACAACTCCCATTAAAGCAGATTGCTTTTTAAGGGTCAATCATTCAACTATGGAAAAATCATTATCACTTGGCTTCTTAGAAGCATCAAACTGGAGCCAGAATCTTTGTGAAGACCATTGTTGGGACAGAGAAGCTGAAGAGCAGAACTCTGAAATCTCACACTGGTCTTGACCTAATGTGAAGCCAAGACAATTCTAATAGGAAGATCTGCCAAGGCTGTTGAAGTATGAATGTATCAGGTTCGAAACTCTTAACAAATCTTCTGCTCGAGTACCTAAATTAAGAATATTAATATCAGCATTTTTACCTGAATATTTGATAAAATCCTGCTTAGAGTTCTTAAAATCAGAATCAGTTTCCCCAGACTCCATTCTTCCATTGTAACACAAGTTACTTCTGATCACACCCTTTTCCACTGAGATTCTCCTGACTTGAGAAGGCAGCAGTTTCTAAAATTTCTGCCCTAAAATTCCACTGTCCTCTCTTGAGTTCTGTGTGGATGGAGTGGTGGCAGCTTGCTCAGTTAACAAGTGAAAGGCAGGTACACAGACACTTCCAAATCCTTTTAGTAAGGGTCCAAAACTGGCCTATGTACAGGGATCAGGTGATTCAGTGAAACACAAAGAGTCAAGGCTAAAGATCCAAGGTTACAGGTGGTCCCCACGTATACAGCACGTGAGGTTCCTTTAGAAGTAAAATGGTGAAGCGCACTGCTACACATCTTTCTTCTTTTAGCAGGGCAAGTAACATTATGGATTATCACTATCAGCGCTCCCACTGAAGGCCCCGAGCTCTGCTGAGCCCTTCTGGATGCCTTACCATGCTTTTAAGATACTGCAGCAGTATGAAGTGGGAGGAAATGAAGAGCTCAGTTTTCTGTTACAAAGATTTTGATAGAGGGCAGTTCAGGAAGCAAACTTACTCGTTTTGAATGAGCAATTTTGGGCTGTTATTAGGATAGCAGATTCAAAAGGTCAGAATTCAGTTGTCTTAATACTTGTGTCTAATGCTAGGTCATCTAGTTCTAGCTGACCTAGGACATTCAACCTGGCCTGCAGCTGCCACTGCAAAAGGGCCTAGGTCTCCCACAGATCCTGTGTTGTATCTGCCACCCTCCTGTGGATGTCTCAGGTACTTTATAGTATCTCCAATGACAATAGATACCAAAGGACAGCCTGCCCAGGCTGTGCTTACATGAGCTGCTCTCACAGACAGGCACATTACTGGAGCTACAAAAATGTAAAAGTAATGAAGTTAATAGATAATAATGATTTCTGATCATAAGTTGAAGATTATTTTTTAGCTAGATGAAAAGACTTCCTGAAAGTTGGACACACTATTCATAGCATGTCAGGAGGGGATTTTTGTTAAAAAGTGACCAAAAATCTTGAAGAAATAGATAAACTTGCCGAGACACACACTGGAGCTAAAACTAATCTCCACTTATCTTCAGAATAGGAAGTCATGTAAATAGAACTCTATGGTAATTTGGGAAACATATCTATACATTCTGTAAACAGTACGTACACAAAATGTCAAACTGTTATACTATTGTCAAAGAAACAACGGCAGTTTATTAGGATTTAAAAACTGTCTACTGAAGGTGAATCATCTTGAGATGGTAGATTAAATTAAACCTAGAGAAGCGTGTAAAGAAAAAAAAGAAAAAGATTAACAACAGTCTAATAGGAAAGTGCTTCTTAGAGTAGGAATATTTGTTTTCTTTGTACAGAGAGGCACACTTGAAATAACAGCGAAATGAGTAACAGCGTATGGTTTGATCAGAAACTGTACCTGTGTCCACTCATTGGTCTGGGGATCATAGGACTCCACTGTATTAAGGTATGTTTGTCCATCATATCCTCCAACAGCATACAACTTGTCACCAAGAAGACATACTCCCACTGCATCTCTGCTAATGCTCATAGAGGCCACAGCAGTCCACATATCTGTTTTTGGATCATACCTAAAAGATAATTTTTATTATACTCAAACTGATGCCAAAATTCAACGGAAAAAGTACTGGAATTGACTTTTTCAAGGTAGTAGACAACAGGTACTATTAGAAGCGCACAGGCTTTGGATGTTAATTGGAAAGGATTTTTTCCCAAATATTCTCTTTGAAACTGTTTATTTAATCATCTAGTAACACAGTCAGTACTAGCTACATATTTACTTTGTGCTGCTTTCCATACAGTAATATATTCATCCACATGCACATGCTCTTACTACATTTCTTACTGCATGGTTAAACATACCACTCCAGACATTGTTCTGCTGCTAGACTACAGCTGGGGCAAGTGCTTGCTTTCTTTAAGAGATAACTATTAAATGTTAAAGTATAGGCTGCTGGAGTGTGGTACTAAAGAGATTCACTTATAAGAGAAGATTATCATTTTCCAAAAAAGGCCCCCCCCAAAACATCCAGTTTAAGTTTGAGAAAATTCTGGGGGAAAGGCAAAATTCTTAAGACAATTTATAGCACTTCTTGAATTGTAATTTCCTATCATCCTAATTATCAGGACAGTAGAAGATAGATGGTTTAATGAAAAAAATGTGATTCTAGAATGTATTAACATTATTTCTAAGTCAAACTAAGAATTAAATGGGACAGTTCATGCTGTTCTTGGGTTAAGGAACTTATTTTAACCTGATCAAAAGAAACAGTGTTAACATAACAGATTATAGCAAAACTGATGGAGTCACAGGGCTCTGAAGAACTATACAAAGAAAATATTTCTTTGACTAAGAGATCATCCAAAAATCATATTTGTGAAAACAACTTTGGAGAATATAGCTCTTAATTTCTTTGCATGAAATACATGGATGCAAAAAGCTCTAGCAATTTTGGCTTCAGCTCTCCATTAAAAGTACTACGGAAATGTATGTTCTGTGCAAACATAGTTCTAACATAAAAATACTGCCTGAAGCACATACTGCAAATAGGAGTATAATGTAGTGAAAGAGGGCAATTCATAAGCTACATACTGATTTTTTTTTTTTTTTCAATTTGAGTTATTTTACAATTAATCCATAAACCAATACAGTGGTATTTCTCTGGAAAAAGCAACTGTTTCATTGTAAAATATAGTGGTAAACAAATATGAAGAAGCATCACATGGCTTTATGAAACTGCTTTTTTCTTTTCTTTCTTTTTTTTTTTTTTAAAATGAACTGTTTCTATGAAGTTGAAGATTCTACATCTTCACCTCACTGCACAGAGGGAAGACATAATGCACTGCAAGATAATTCCTATTTATTAAATTCATGTAATGCATAATTGTGTTTCAGAAAATACGGAGGCAGAAAAATATATGGACTTTTCCTATTGCTTTCTCTTGCGCTAGTGATTGTCTGTATTCCTCTGAAAATTTATTATCAGCTGAGATATAGCTTCCTAACTGGAAACACTTCCGGGGTCTTGTTACTGCACCTTCCACATTTTAAGTGCTATGGGCCATATTATATGTTTTGGGGTCTATTAGGACATTGAAAGTTTGAAAAGTACACCTCTTTTTCTTTTTTTTTTTTTTTTTTGCTAGAGGGCAAATCAGATTTTCCAGCCTAAAAAGATTTAGTAAAAGAAGAGGCTGGTAACAAAGAATCACTGGTAGGTGTTGGGAGATAACAGGAAAGAAAACAAGTGGGGAATTCCATCTTCTTTTGGGGGTGGGGTGAGGTGGGTGGGTAGAGAGTCGGGGAAGGAGAATTAAAGTATATTTCAGAAATACTTGAAATGATGACAAAGAATTAGAGAGATGCATTATGAAATATTTACTGACATTTTTACTTGTTTTATGGTTCACATGTGATTCTGTCATTGTCATTTGTAATGCAATCACTCCAGAGTAACTTTATATGAATACATACCAATTTCAGAATAATTAAATTAAATGCGAGCTTCCCAGTGTCATCAGGGCATACAGGAAAGGATATGATATTTAAGGGTCCACAAACTTCAATCATTAACTCAGTTAAAAGTTACAATATGCACTGATAATGAAACTTGTGAAAGAACTTTTGTTCCATTTGTACAGACCTTCAGTTCTACGTTCTTCTCAATTAATTAGCATTTATTCCATGAGATTTTGAGGAAAAAAATGATTTTTGCAGATGAAGTGCATTAGAAAGAATTTTCTTTTCAATTGGTTTGTTCTGGCAACATTATGAATCATATTATGACTATACAGTATGTTTTTATATATAGGTTTACTCTCCTCACACTAAAAATAATATGGCTGTTTTAATGGATTTCCTACTTAACAGCTCTTTCTGTAAATCACTCTACATGCTAGCATTATTCGAATTACTAGCAGGATCCTTCTTCATCAGGATATTACCTTTCTACGCAGTCTGAGAGCCTGGATGTTAGGTTTGATGCTGGGGCATCATGTCCACCTATTGCATACAAGAACCCATTCCAAGTAGTTACACCTACACCACCTCTTCTTTTTGACATTTGAGCACAGAGGGTCCATTTGTTGGTATGAGGATCAAAACATTCTACTGACTTAAGACAAGAACTTCCATCTCGACCACCAACTGCATAAAGTCTACAAAGTTTAAAAAAAAGTATTAATATCACAAATATTGCTTGTCTACTGAAACATTATTGTGAAAAAACACACAGCAACATGTTTTTGTACGGGACACAAGTTAAGTCATGTATGAAGAACTCCCATAAAAAGAGAAATTTGGAAGCAGAATTTCAACTTTCGATAGCATTTTCTGTTCCTAAATCTCAGACAAAATGTAAGATTTTGCTCCAGTCTTTCCTATTGTCACAATTAACACAGAACAGGGATAATTTACAGAAAGTTAATTATAATAGTATTTATGTTCCAACTTGTCCACATAGGTAATTTTGAAATTCTTCGCTAAGGGACTTGACAATCAAAGGCCCATATCCAGTGGGGTCAAAGGGAAAAATTCAATAATGGATTTATGCATGTAAAAATTCTGCCCTTTGTCAATTTAGGTAACCATTTTTATGGACCTGAGCTTCAGTTTTATAAATGGTAACTCTCGATAATTCCCCTCACATCCACTAGGTGGCCTAGTTTGCTCGGTTCTAACATACAAAGGTTTCTGGCATTTTGTAATAACAAAGAATTTCAATTTTTTGTGAAATAAGGATAGAAGGAAGACTAGAGTTAGCAGCATTGCATCACCTGAGAATCATTAAAAATAATCAGATAAGTGAACTTGATCAATTCTGGGCACTTCTTTTGATGTTTATGAGCAATGTAAACTTAGAAGCAGAAATACTGCATGCCTAGCGCTTATTTTGAAAGGCAAGAAGGCAGAACACACTTTAAAAAGAAAGCAACGCATCAGAAGTCAAATCTAGTTTGAGAGATGACTTGAAATATCACTAATGAATTCCCTTCAGAACCTGAGGCAGATTGTAGTATAGTTAAATAATCAAATACATATTAGACACTGTATACGATGACGGTGTGAATATCTGGCAACAGTTACTACGAAGCACTATTCAAAACGTCCTCAGTTCGGGAAATACTGTTTTTCCGGTTTTTAAATGTAGTGACTAAACTTGAACGCAAACCTGTTGTAAATATGATTGATCTAGTAGCTCTCACTAATAATTTTTTAACCTTCTTAAAAAAAAAAAAAAAAAGACCATTACACTTTTATGGAAGTACCATGTTTAAGAACACAATTTGTTTAAGGTAAAGAATGTACTGAAGTATCTTGAAAAATTTTGCTGCAGTTCCAGAAAGTTTATGACTAAGAAAACAAATAAAAAAAAAAAAATCAATCCTTTATAATACAGCATTTAAATGAATCCCTCAGCCCCCTAAAACATGACAGAATTTCGATCACTTATGCAGTGGTTTGTCATTCAGGATGTGGAGCAGAATATATTCATCTCTGTATATGGAGATTTTGAGCAAATCATCTGAAAGATACCAAGTAACAGACATACTATTACTAAAAAAGTGCAGAAGTTGCTAGTCCTACAGCTGCAATGCAGTAACTTTGCATGCACTTTCAGGGAAGTACTCAGGCTTTTTAGCTATAAGCATCTAGTATTGCTGCCTATATTGAGTCCAGGCTATCTTCTATGATAATAGAGAAACATGAGGCTGTAATTCTGGTGATTTAAATCACACCTGGGACTCTCTACTGAATACTACCTATAATAATATATGTAGGACCTAACTTAGGCATCTGAGACTGCAGTTCCACAGCAGCCAAAGCCACTCTGCTTGCTGGTTGTTCACGTTCTTCACCCAAGTCAGCACTCTCACTGCACTTGCTCCAGATCTCACAGGACCCTCTGTAATAAAATTTAAAAAACAAAAAAACAAAAAAACAAACCAAACAAAAACCACCCCAAAGCTTTTTGCCAGCTTACAATACCCAAACAGCTCAAGGGAGGTTTCGCAACTGCCACAGAGAATACATGAAGTAGCAAGTGGAAACTTGGGGTCAAGATCATGATAGTCAGTATTTCGATTAGGTTAGGCTGCCATAACCCTAGTTAGATTCTTGCAGTCAGATGGTGTAAATATTCTGCCACAGCTACAATAATACTAATAGTTTAGATAAGCAAACTACAAGGATGGTGGAAAACTAGATGGGACTGCTGGTCTCAAAAGACTGATCAGCAGTACAAAGTCCAGCTGACAGGTGGTTACCAGCAGCGCTCCTCCCAGGTTGATGCTGGGGCTGATACTGTTTAATGTCTTCAGTAACTTTCTGAAGAGATAATTTCTCATAGGTGATACTAAGGTGGACTATGATGCTGTGGGGAGGCCTGCTTGGCCCAGTACGGGATCTCTTCTATCAAAAGAGACTATGGCTGTTAACATATATCTGTCAAGAGAAATACAGTCATTCAGGATGTTTCTCTAATTACATTAAAATAATGAAAAAGAAAATGGAAGTTGCCTTCACATACTTTCCATTTAATATTGCTACCCCAACAGTGCTCCTTGGAGTTGACATGCTAGCTACAAAGTTCCACTGACGAGCCTGTGGATCCCATCTTTCTACTGTATTCAGATAGCTCCAACCATCGTGTCCTCCTACAGCATACATGGGACCTTCCAATACAGCTACTCCTAATAAATAAATAAAATTATGAAAAACGTCTGGATAAGGGGAAAAAAATCTCATTTTCCTCGCGACAGCCCAGCACACACCCGCGTGCACGCGCACACACACAAAAATCAAACCAAATAAACCACAAGTTTCCTTTTAGCAGTCAATACTGGTTACAGTCTGAAGGGGGAAAAAGGAAAGAGTCCAAAAAAAAAAAAGTTCTACAGGTCAGCATTAAAACAAAGTTAATCTTTCCCCTAAAATTTAATTATTTTTTTAAAATCAATCTGAAAACCTTTTAAAATAAGCATTTATCCTTTACAGAACTGTACATACCAAGACCATGACGGTGTGTGGACATAGGTGGCATTACACTCCAAGTTTTAGTTCTAGGGTTGTAACACTCCACAGTATTCAGTGTTTTCAGTCCATCTCTGCCACCAACAACATATAATTTATCTTCTAACACTGCAACTCCAAACTGTAATCTTCGTCCATTCATGTTTGCAACAGGGGTCCACATGTTGGTACGAAGTTCATACTTTTCAATGCTTGTAGCTCCTGATAACATACGCAAGTTATTAAAAAAGTTTGCTCTGAATTAGTGGGACAGTTTTTATTTCAGCAACATTCTGATGCCACAAGACCCTTCAGCATATTCTTAATTCTATGTATGTGAATACCAAATTCCTTCTGACTACCATTACATTTACATTATGGAAGCGTCTACAAAAAATACGTGAGTAGCTCTGACACAACCCTTTAGCAATTATCAAAAAGCATACTTTTGTTTTTATACGTGCGCATGCCACCTTTGTGCATTTTCTGTTTTTTTCCTTTTTCATATTACTTCCTGTTCACACAAAAAAAGATTAGTTTTCATTTGACTCGATACTTCAGAAATCAGATATTCCCTTAATTTCAAAATCAGTAACACAAGCTTCCAATATTATCAATCCTACCTATTTTTAACCTAATAAAGTCAGTGTACATTTATGAAGTTTCATGCTCGATGCTGTAGAATCTTTGAATTTTATAACTGACATGCTAGACTAATATTTATCAAACATTTCTTAAAAACAAAAAATGCATTAACTAATCAATATATAAACCAATACCTTTCGTTGCATCCATTCCTCCAACTGCAAACAACACTCCCACGGTAGATTTTCTAGGTTTGGTGCGAGGACTTTGTAACATAGGTCGTCTCTCTGGCAACAGATGGTACTTCATTGCTTCCATAATGAGTTTCTGACATTCAATGTCATCCCTAAAGAGTGCGTTATTTTCCATATCTGCCAGAAACTGTGGAAAAGAAAAAGAAAAGAAAACTGTAGAAGCTGAACTGCTATGAACCACATGAAGGATGAAAACAAAACCACAAGGAAGTATTTTATCCAGAAATGTATATTGTCTAATTTAAAAAATATATACATATATATTTCAAAAAAGCCATCTAATAAGAAAAGTATAAAGACAAGCCAGTAATAAAATGAACAAAACACATTTTAAGCTAGACCATTACATAAAAAAAGGGAGGCGGGAGGGGAGACCAAAGGAAGAAAATAAAATCTCCTAAGGTTCCAGTGCCATTGCAAGGATGTTCAAATGGAACCCAGCTCCAGGTACACAACTCAGTTTAATCTGGTTGATTCCAGAAACACCCTAATCCAGAGGTCTATAAAAGACACTTCAGGAACAGACTGCAAATTTCAATATAGATTCTACTCTTGACTCTGTCACTGACCCACAGCATGATCTCAATTATTACATACCTTTGTGACATATTTTAAGATCATGAATGCTAGCAAATTTGAACAAGTGTTAAAATTTAAAACTGACTTAAGTAAAATACAAGCTGAATAAAGATCACTATTAACATTTTTAAATGAAAAGATGCTGGAGGCTTTTGTATCCCAGATTTGCCAGATTACAGAAGAAACACTAGGTTAAGTGCCCCAACTGTAATTATTAGAAAGACTGGATGTCTGGGGTTTTTTTGAGCTCCAAGACATTTAGTATGGCCTAAGTAACAGAGGAAAAAGCAAGTAAGGCCTGGAATGTCCCAGAATGGGACTGTGGCAGTTAAGAGAACAATAAGAAAGAGGCAAATGCCTCATACTTGCCATCACAAAATTCAAGCACGTTGTGAATACTGGCTGCCAACTGATAACAGGTACAAAAATGCTGTGAGATTAAGCATCAGGAGTACTGAAGAAACTTATGATGAAATAGCTGCACCAGTATGGTGCGCACAGTCCTGGCTTAAAACTGCCGTAGGTCTAGAAGGTGGCAAACGTAACATGCCTGGTTCCAGTGGAGATGCAGATAATTACAGACTGCTAAGCCTGAAGTCTCTGTATCTGGCAAATCAATAGAACCTATGCCAGAAAACAGAATTAACAGATGCATAGAGAACTCCAAAAGACTTCCAAAGTCCCTCAGTAAAGACGTCGAAGGAAACTGAGCCTGGCTTTTTCAGCATTTCTGACTGATGTTTTGATTCTTTTTAAACCACCAAACTAAAATATTTTCACGTACATTACCAGTAGGAAGTTAATTTTCATTCACTGCTTTCAGTACTTCCCATTAGTTCTTCTCTTGACACAAAGCACCACTTACTCCTTTTATCAATTCACAGTGCCACTTCATGATTATAAAACAGTAAACTAAAAACAATGTTTGAACTATCAGCATACAATGCCATAAACTTACATATAGCTTTAAGAATCAGTGAATTACCACTGTCCTAAACTGGACTTTGTCATAACTGCCATGTTCGGGGGGGGTGGGGGTGGGTGTGGGGGGGTGTGGGATTTAAGAAGAATCTGTACCACAGGAAGGACTTCTACACATTCAGGATACAAAATTTCAGGAGCATGCACTGAAAATTGAAGCTTACAAAAAACATGTTCAATTCAGACTTCCAATATATTTTTCTTCCCGAAAACTCTTATTTAATATTTAGGGGACTAAGATTCTGAAGCAACATTATGTGTGTTTGTATGAGTTTTGTATATCAAGACACAATCTATCTATTTTCCAATCCCCCCTCTCAGTCTGTACAGAAGTTTCCTGATAGCACAGGGTCTCAGTCTGAATCTTCTTCACTTAATTAATCCAATTCCAAGTTCTTTAAGTGAATTCTCATTTTTCAGGTTTCATTATTTATGTAGCACCTTGTACTAAAAACATTTTTAAGTGAGCAGTTCCAAATGATGAGTTAGCATTAAATTATAGTCATTGGAAATCTGATGAAGACCAAAAGCAAAGGCAGACATAAGTACTACAAGTTTCTGACTAAAAGGAAGCTGAATCTATCTTGTAACTTAGAAATTCCTTAACCATCCTTTTCATTTATTTATCAGAGATGAAATATTTGCCATCTTACAGATTAAGAAGCTGACAAATATTCATCTTAAGCTTTTGTAACAACAAGAGTCTTCCAGATGTTTAGGACACTTCTTGCATTAACAAAAAGAGATGAATTATTATTAGATAAAAAACAAAATGCTATGTGCAAAGACAGGCATAAAAATAAAACTGATAAAACCAATGATTCTTTACAAATATTTTGCCTCCCAGCACTAGTTTCACAGTATTTCCCAAAGTTGTTCTTTGAAGTGTAGGAATACAATATTCCTTACATCTCTCCTTTCAACATCATTGATTTCAGCAAGTTGTTCAATTTTCTAACTTCATTTCTTTCAAATAGCTTTGACCCTTCACCTTAAAATTGGAAACCTTTTCATTATACTATGCTTGCTGTCACATTGCCCAACACCATGTGGTCATGAAGGAAAACCTAACTCTGAAAACACGTTAAGATTGTTTAGGGACTTCATTACTAACTGGTGCATTACTGAAATCACAGCTTTAACACTTTCATTTGTTCAAGAAAGTAATAAAAGGACAGAAGGAAAATATGAAACTAGAAATGTAAGCACATATTTGGAGAAGATATGGAAAATTAAAATAAATACGAAACTGCTTTTCTGTTTCATTCCGGTATTTTCCTAATCAGTTATTGCATGGGCTAATTTAATCTCGTTACATATTTCTTGGACAAATTCTGTTCTTCCACTTTCTAAAATGTTTCAATTACAGTCAGTATATAAATACTAAAATTAAAATGCTTGCTAGTGAATTTTTCTAGTCAGTAAGAGGATACCAGATTAAAGGCAATGCATAGAATGCTGCATATATCACTTATCACTATGAATGTAGGAAACTCCAGTTTTGGTTTTAGTGAAGTCTACTTATTATTCAGGTTTGATAAAAAGCCTATTTTTCTCACAGAATCACAGAATGGTTTAGGTTGCAAGGGACCTCTGGAGATCATCTAGTCCAACCTCCCTGCCCAAGCAGGGTCACCTAGAGCATATTGCCCAGGATCACATCCACACGGGTTTTGAATATCTCCAGCGAAGGAGACTCCACTACCTCTCCAGGCAACCTGTTCCAATGCTCTGTCACCCTCACAGGAAAGAAGCTTTTTCTCAGGTTTAGGTGGAACTTCCTGTGGTTCAGTTTATGCCCATTGCCTCTCGTCCTGTTGCTGGGCACCACGGAGAAGAGATTGGCCTCATCAAATAATAACAGAAGTAACAGTAAGAATAACAGAAGTAAGAATAGAATAGTAAGAATAATAGAAGTAATTCTTTACAAACTGAAAACTGCAACTCAAAGTCCTTTGACTTTATATGCGTTAAATATTACTAATGAAGGTCCAGCAAGAAAAGCTAGCATAAGGACATCTAACTTAGTTTACGTGCATGCTATCAGAAAACAAACACAATGTTACACATGACACTAGTAAGAACAGCCATTCCCGCAAGACTGGGAAAACTGTCATTCACAACTATTATTCAAACACAAATTGAGCTCAAGTCTTCCTCAACAACATGTGGAAATGTCCAGGAAGGAGAAAAACTACTGATCATGAAGTTCAAAAAGTACCTGAAGATGACTTACCAAGGACCATGGAAGAAAAAAAAAATCACTCAATTTATTCAAACTATTTCTAAATCTGAAAGACTGCTGTAAATTAGATGAAGGAAATTTAACGTTCAAAATAAACTGTGCAAATTCCATAAAGGAGAAATTTAAAAAGGATACATCTTCTGGTGATAAACATATCCTTGATAAGCATTTTTTAGGCAATGGAAACCATTTTTTCCTAGCAGCTCCGCCCGTTCTTCTGTCCCAACTGATCTCAGATCTTCTAGAATCCGGAAGTTTTTGTGATTGGTCACTGCCAGTACATAGATACAGCAGGCATGCCCACGATAACCACGCTATAAACTAGAAAGGAGTAGAACAATGTACCTGCGGAGCAAGCAGAGGCAGTCTAATGTAAGCCAGGAGTTTACTGAGCTCTTTCCTTCTCTGTTCCAAATCATGTCGAACCCATGTAAGTAGTGCATTCAGTATAGTTTCTTCATTAGGAATATTCATATCATCACTTGCTAAAAGCTTTGCAATTTCAGTGGCTGGTAATAATAGGAACTCCTGGTTTCTAATTACTTCCATGAAATTTTCCTGAAAAAGGAAAAGTGTATTTAATACAGATGATGACATAATTTGAAGACAGTCTCTTATGAAACCCCTAATACATCTTCCCCACTTGTCCCTCCTTCATACCACCTCTCAGTTGTGCCAGTAAACTGACCTAGGAGAGAAAAATCTATACGGAGTTATTTTTAATCCCAATCGTTTCCCCAACTCTGTTTACCACATGGCCTCACAGAGAGATGTGCTGAAAAACTGGGGGAGGGGAAGCGCATGGAATTGCATGAACAGTGGGTTGTGGGGGCTGCTCATGCAGGCACTGCAACTGGAAGAAAGTCTTTCCAAATTACGGTTTTAAAAAAAATTGCATTCTATATATTCTACATCAAGCACAAACAAACAATGTAAGATGCTCTGCCAAGCAAAGAGCATATCATACTACAACAGCTACTGAGCATATCTGTAATAGTTTACTAGATTAAACTACAGTGATTTAAGTTTCCAGAGGAAATAAACAACACTAAAATTTTTATTTTTGACATTCAATACGTTCTTTTAAGTTTATTTTACTATTTTGTACGTTTTATACAGCTGATCTCATAAACTGACAGGGGAGCAAAAGATACAAAGAATCCACAATACTGTACACTCTTTGCTTTATTAACAATAGTTATTTTGATAGGATTCCATCTTCTACTTTTCATTCTGTCATTTCCAGCAACAAATCCTTACTTCAAAGTCAGCAAAGTCACAACACATAACATTTCTGACATTTATATCACGCTACTTCAGAATACGAGGACTTGCAGAATATTCTGTAAGGATTCTCATGAAGTGAGGCAAAAGTAGCAGAAAAGGATGTAGAAACATGATAAGCACTATGAGTTTACAGTGAGAAACCTGAATTTTTTTTTGAATATATCAGAAAAGGGTGAGATCATGTCTAACCTCTTTCCCCACACACCTTTAAAAGGCAGCAAAGTAAAGAAAACTAAAAGCAATCTATGAATCACAACATGTTCTTACACTTTGGGAGCTCAGAAATCAGTCACCTCATACTCCAGGCTTAAGGTAACTTCATGGTAATAAACTAGTATTACATTCAGTATAGTAAACATACTGTTGGTTGCTAAACAGCCAAAAAACTGAATGCTGATTTTGCTCTTCGACCACATATACCTCCAAAACAGCTGGAGGGTGAAGGGCATTAGATCCACAGATGAGGTCTAACTGAACTAGATCAACTGGCTTTAAAATTAGCCTTATTCAGTATTTTGCTTAATAAAAATCAAAAGAAAGAATTGCACGTTAATGAAAAAACTGGAATTGGAAGCAGCTACATATGGGGGGGAGGGGGAAGGATTTCAAGCTAAAATAAAAACACCACCAATGAAAACAAGAAGCAGGACCTGCACTGCAAAACAGGTACAAATTCAGAGTACAAAGCAGCAACAAAAACATACAGCAGAGTCTGACATGGCATATGCAAAGGACACTATGACAACAAAGCAAACAGATAATACCTCTTCCTTTTTCTTACTTAGTCTAATCATCTCATTCAAAGCTAGATACCTAGTATTCCAAAACCACTAAAAAACTAAAGAATGCTGAGCAAAGAGGAAAAAACTAACAAGGAGTAAAACAGTCCATCTTACATGAGAGGTAACATATATAGCGTGGCTACAAGATGTCTAAGGGGAAAGATCAAAGTGACTACACTCCAGAGAACTCTGGAGTTAAAAACGGGGAAACAACTGAAAGTGTTATCTACAGACATAACTGCGTACTCCTACAATTTTCCTTTGGGAATTCTGTTTGTGTTTAACGTCTGAAAAGCTTTCCTAAGAAAGGGATCCAATTGGCTACAGAAGTAGTCTTTCCAAGTGAAAGCTGTAACAGATTAGAAGGGAAACAGAACTGTCTTCTCCTCTTTAATTTGTTTATCTCTCTGTATTACAAAATGGAAGTTCAGACAATGAGCAAACACAGTGAAAGGATCATACCAATTTCAGCAGCACCACAAATGCCTTTTTTTAACACTGTTATTAAACGCTTGGGAATAAAACTGAAGTTGAAAACCAATCAAAATTATTTCCAGGGCTCAAACGTGCAGTCAACAGAAATTCAGATTCCACTGGGTTGTTTTCACTGTTCTTTTTGGCTGAGTCTCTGTCCTAGAGCATTTGCAAGCTAGAGCTGTGCTTTTAGTTTTGCTGAATAAACAGGCAGTGAGCACTGACAAAGAGAAAAGCCAACACTTACTACCTTAAACCTTCCATATTTTCTATCCAGATCGCAGGGAGAGGAAGGGGAAAGCACCTGGAAAGTTTTCTTTGTCTCTGAAGGCAATGATGAGCTGATCTTGCATGAGTCATTCAGGAATCTTCTTCAGAAAGGTTTTTTCCAACTGGATTTAATTTCTTCAACAGCTGTTGTATGCAAAAAGCCTGATTCTCCTTCTTGTTATTTCCAGACAATTGCTTTCCGATAGGAACAAATTTAACTTCCTCTTGCTCCCAATTCTATTTTTAGAGCAGAGACTCCTTTTGAGCACAGTATCAAAGCATTCCATTGGGAATACAGCCACAAAGGCCTATGTCTGGGATTTTTTATGATCAGAATCTGACAGTTCCTCTTCCTCTACAGACAGGGATTCTGAAGACAACAAGGAGGAGCCAGTGTATCTCCTAGCATTCTTAACCTCCTCATTAGCCTTTGCTTTTCTTCTTCTTATGGGAACTCTCTGTGGAAGAACAGGATATTTCAGAGAACAAACGGTCTGCACTTTCAGTCCCCTGTTTTCTGGTCTTGAAAGTTAAAAACAAAAACAAAAAACCCAAGAAGTTTCCCTCCCCCAATATTAGCTCCTCAAAGAGCTTGGAAATTTCATCAAATGAGTGGCCTGAGATTTATGCACTAACTAAAGCTATCCATAGTGGCATCTCTCACTCAAATCATAAGCTCAGATCCACCCTCCCAGCAGCTGCAGAGTGAATAATGCCGATATTCTTAGCCAGAGTTCTATCCTGGCCTTGGTACAGGGCAAAAAAAAAAATATTAGGATCCCATAAAAGATAAGCACCACCTGAAAAAAAGGATCATGGCTTTTATTTCCCAAAGTGGAATCCAGTTAGACAGTAAGGCATCCTAATGCCAAAAAGATTTGAATCTGAGTGTAATCAAAAACCACAAGCTGAGAAGAACTGTACACAGAAATCCAACAGGAAGCTCTAACTACAGAGCTCTGTCTAAACTCTGATCCTGGGCAACTGAACAGCAAAAGATGCATGACTCATGGGATCTGAAGGAGAACAAATAGGGAACATAATTTTGTCATCTATTGGCTGCTGCGGTCAGTTGGCCAACTTAGGCATAAATTTGCTAAGTAGATCTTAGAGCTGAAGTATCTAAGCGTCTAGGAAACTATTACAATCAGATGAACATAAGACAGCAGCCACTTCCCTTTAAATCAGCTTTGACTGCTGTTCTTAGTGATGAACCAACCCAAAGCTCTTTCTGTGCCCTAGGTTTGTACAGAGTACACCTACTGCAGCTTGACTCCCCTCTGCACGGCTTCTAGATTCCAAAACAGCTTAGGCAGCATCCAGAAACCTCTTTAGTTACACCTAGACAGTTACACCTACTTACACCTTTTGTGCTAGACAGAACTGTACCCACGGACCTTGAAAGCCAGAAGTACCTTGAGATTTTTCAAAGGTGAAAAAAAGTGAATGAGTACTTTCAAAGTCAGAGCACCAGTGACCACAATATTTTGGAGTGCAATTTCAGGTGCAGGAATATAAAGTCCTTGTTTTACACATTAATGCAATCTTTGGATCTGGTCCTTTGTGGATGAAAAATACTGACATTTCTCCCCTCTTTCCTGGGCCCCCCTCTTGTCCCCTGAACAAACTATCCTGGCAGCTGGGAGAAAAAAAGGCATATTATACCTCTTCACTTCATCCTCCCAAATTGTAAACGCCACATGATCATGATTTTTGCTGCTCCACTCCTGCTCTACAAGAGAAATCAAGTCTGTGTCCCACACCTGTCGGCTGTTCTGCAAAATTCCTAGATTCTGTGATTGGCCTCTTCAAGTCTTTCTTCTTACTAATAGCCATTGCTTGTGCTGAGAAACCCTGAAAACTACAAAATCAACTTTATCTGAATCTTGTAACGTTCTGATTATTGCTCACATACTTCTGAAGACTTCTGATGAAAACCAGCATGACTTTTCACTCTGCTTTAAGGCAAGAAAAGCTCTGAGAAACAAAGATTATAAAGCGGTCTACTTAGAGACTGACTCAGGCACTACCATATTTTCGTATTTTGTATTTAGGAAGTCTGCTTCCTAAACTTCCTGCTTAGGAAGTTTAGTAACTTTTTTTTTTTTTTTTTTGGGGGGGGGGGGCACAGGGGGGAGTGTTCTAAGTAACAAAGTTAAAATCCAGCTACTGAAAAAGCTGCTCATGCTTACTTAAAAATACCTCCCTACCCACTACCGATATTTCAAGTTCTGAAAATAGCACAGGCTAACTTTTCCTTATCTGAAAATATAAACTTTTCTTTAGTTTATTTTTTTCTTTGTGGAAGGGAAGCTAAATCTTTTCATTCAAGGTAGACTACCAGTTGTTCTCAAACAAACTAGACAACAAAGTAGATGTTTCTTCTGATGTGAAGACAACTGAAGCTCCTCAGTAGGCAATATGTTAGAGGGCAGGAAAAATGCAAAGAAGGCACTACATGTGGAAAGGCTTTATGAATTAACGTGAACACACACACTACTGGCTAGCCTACGAAAAATACTTAAAATTGATAGTTACGACCCCAGCAAAACAGCAAACAGGATAACTTTGGTATAAAAAAAATCTCTTTACTCTGATACATCTCATGATTCTATGAACTGTATTTTACATCCTTGATCTGTAAAAATCAAGTACGTAGTAAGTCTTTATACAGCATTACATCCACAATTGTTCACCTCTTATTATTTCATGTTTCACTTAATGCATCCTGAGAATTTTTCAAGCTTTGTTTGCAGTGTCAAAAAATGATCTGTTTTGATAACCTTGAAAATTTTTCTCTTCTGAATAAACAGCTTATCAACTATCAACAGAATAAACAATGAAGTAAGGTAACATTTAAGTTCTTTTACTAAAACATACATGTATATCTTTACTATGAAGTGGTACAGTGTTCAAATTCATACTATTGCATTTCTGTTTTTAATCACATTGCATTGTGTGATTAAAACCACGCCAATGCTTTCCAATGACTCTAATGAACATTATTCAGAGCAAGTCTAACAACAGAGGTGGGCTTACTGGGATAACTCACTGATTAGTCTTTTATTTTAACCAAATGCTCATTTCATCTGAATTACTAGTCTTGATGTAAAAAGCAGATAAGGTGCCTATCAAAGTATTCCAGGTGTCCAATAAATCTTTAAAACCAAGAAGTTGTTTTAATTGCAGAAAACCAGTTGTATGGCAAACTGATTTTTTGTCAGAGGAAAAGAAACAGTCATAGAAAACATATATAAATTAAAACATAAATATTTTATATTTTTCATTGCCTTCAATTTCCAGTGCTTTAAGGGATGCAAAATTACATGGAAAAAATCTAAAGTATGCACTACACTGACTATAATCCCTCATTATTTGCAGCTTATAAAAGAGACACACTTTCACAAACAGAATTTACAGATACTACACGTGTGCCTAACCCTAATGTTCCTGTTCTTTTTTAATGGAAAAAATATCAAGTGGCTAACATTTACTGTTGAACACTTTTTACTTTCAAATAGCTGTTAAATAAATGAAATTACTCGGGGATTTACTTTAACTGAAGATTCAATTGGACTATATATTTCTATGCAGTTTCCATAGCAACATTTGTCTCAAACTAAAGAAACTGCTTCTATTACTCATCATTACTCACATTCAATTTTATGTCTCTGTTGGAACTAAACAATATTAAAGGAGGCCTTGGGAAGAATCCACCTAGCACAACAAATCAGCTTTAAAAATGGCTTTTAAAATCCAGCTAATTGAAATTTCATTCACGTTAAAGCCTTAAAAGCAACAATTTTGCCATTGAAGTAAACAACGGTCAAAAGGCATACAACTATTTTCCTGTGGTCTGAATGAAAGACAGATGGGTTGTCCTAAAAGGATGGCTTTTAGAAAGTTCACAGCCACTTTACCCCTCAAAAAGTCAGGAGTTGTAGGTCAAAACGGTAAGTCTATAAAATCTCTAACGCTTATTTTTTAAGATGCACTAGTCTAGCATTTGCTACTACTCTGATCTTTCCATTCCACTAATAAAGCTTACAATGGACATGACAATAGCACAGACCAGGACATATGCTCATTCTGAGAAAGAGCAACGGGCTGGTCAAAGGAGGGAGGTTCTCTTTTTGCATACTCTTTTGCATTACATAGTGCCTCTCAACATTAATTTTAACATTCCTCAAAGCTATAAAATACATTTATCTTTACTGTTTCATTTGACTATTTCTAATTGCAGTCTCCTCATCTATGATTCAACAATAATGAAGGTCAAGAATAGAAACATGGGAATTATAATCTGAACACTATTTATGGAGTGTTTTAGTGAATTTCAGCAAGTATATAACCTCAAATAGATCAGAGATCTCTCATTGAGAAAGGACACTATATCACATAAAAAAAGAGCTATTTTAAACTGTTTTCCTACTAAACTAAGTTATTTTAAGCCAAGAAGAAATAAAAAATGAGCAGTTTCCAAATCAGCAAACATTCAGAAGGTAAGAAGACAATCCATGGATTTCTAATTGTAATTAGAAGATTAAAAAAAGCTACACTTCTTGGATCTAAGCCAATGCCATGCCATGCAAGGAAATTAAGCACTATCTTAATTCCTATTCTCTTATGCCATATCTACATGCCCTAGTTCAGGTCCCAAGAGCTCAAGCAGGCAGGTGAAAACGTCATCAAGGAGAGAGAAAAATACCTCACAAAATTCTGCAAAGAGAAGATGACTTGCCTTAGAGATACTTATCCTGCTTTCTTCTGCTGACACTACTAAAGCATATTTTTGAGAAGGAAAATAAGAATATTTTAGATTAAGAAAAAAAAGGATGCCTATTAAAAAGCTGAAATTTATATAAGTTGGTAGATCACTCTTTCTCTAAATAAAGACAAAAATATCTCTGGCAAATTTGTATTTAGCCCCACATCGGATAGCCCAAGATCATATTCTTTGATGCCTTGCTGACATGCCATCACTAGCAAATTAAGGATAAAGCAGAATTTATAGTGACGAATATCCACATTCACACCCCACGTGCAACTTAGACCCTGATTTCTGCAGTTCCTTACTGAATGAAACAGTACAGTTTTTATTTTGTAAAGTCTTATTTTGGACTAGATGATAGCAGCTTGCGTGCTGTTGAGTTTGTAGTTCTCAACTGACAGAAATAAGAACTAGCTTTTAAATGATTTTATTGAACGCATGTCACAATCCCATTACGGTTACAAGAAACTATTAATGCCTGCCTACTTTCTTCCTACTCTAAACCAGCAACTTTATAGTTATTTTGTCACTTCTCAGCATGGGAACACACATGTGTTCCTGCTTGGAAAATGGTCATGGTTTATCTGAGGGGGAAAAACTAGCATTTTATTCAGGCTGACATTCTGTATTTTCCTTACTAAAAAAGGTAGATGATGCTTAAAATAAGAACATACCATAGTGTAATTGTGAGCCACCTTGTGCAAGTCAGTGCAACCCTGTGCATCAGCAAAAGATCGGATTCCAAGGCAGTTGGATGGGTGAAGCTGCTTCATTAGGAACTTACAGCATGCTTCTACAACCTGAGAGAGCTGAAGAAGGCAAGCTGTAGACAACAGGCACTCAATGTTATCTTCTTTTAATTCAAGGCGACCTAGCAAGAATAAAAATAAAAAAACCCACACATTTTACTTTCATCATTTGTCAGACTCCCCAAAACTCATACACAACAGATACACAGATTATATGACAGAACACGAGGCTCAGCAAACATCACCCCCAGCAATAGATAACCAGCTTTTCACAATTAGTATCTATAATGATGCAAGAAAATGGAATCTTAATAAAATTCCTTTTTTATCTGTCTTAATACATCTGAAATATTCAGGTAATTAAAGAAGCTATATCCCACCAGGTTGCCTCAGGTAAGAGCAGTGATGATAATTTTTTATAAATGAGTTAAATCATGTGAATAATAACTCTTAGGAGCACCTGAAATCCTGTAATGGATTATAAAGCTCACCGGAGGACAAATCATTAGACAAATTTCCCATTTTCATTTTTATTACCTGTATATGCATACTGAACCAGAGCCCACAAAGCATTTGGCTCCACACCTTCCATCTTGATTTCTTCCTGTCTTGCTTCCCTTACATCATTTGTAAACATTGCTGCAAAGTAGTCGGAAACAGAGGAGAGAACCAGTCTGGGTACACAGTGCAGGAGAAATGGAGAGAGACAAGGGGAGGATGGGGAGGGAAGAAAGAAAAGAAAAGAAAAAGAAAAGAAAAAAGCTTAGTCAAGCTGATGTTTGTTAATTTATGCTTCATTATTTTGCCCTTTTAAGAAGTGCTGTATTGAGAAAAACATTTTAAAATTGACAAACTGCTTCACGCTCCAGTTCCTCTCTATGAATTATGAAGTACTGGTATTGAACTACATTTGCTGCTGAAGTAAATGATGTACTGTTTCAAAGCTCAGCAACTTTTAATAGACAACACAGAAATAACCCACAAAAACATACTCTGGAAATGGAATATAAATAAATGTAATAAAACAACAATAATTTCCATTTATATCAGTTACTGTTTTTAAAACATAAAACTGACTTATTGTCCTTTTTCAGGTGCTTTAAAATGATTTTACTCTTTGTGCACACACATGCATTCTTTTACAAATCCTGATGATAGAACTAAGCATAGTAAAAATGGCGATAGCATACACAAGAAAAGCCTAGCTATATGAGTAGAAAAAATGTGATCCACAGAAAATAATTTACGTGGCAATCTCTTTTGTGTGCACTGAGCATTTTATTAACAATTCTGAATAATTTAAGATACTGAATAAGCAATTATGCAGTTACTGTTCAATAGATATTTCTTTAGCTTATGGAGAATAAAACACTGAGTATATACAACAATGACACTCCACACAGTGTGTAAGAATTTAGAAGTTTCAGTATATATTTACAGGACTAGGGTGAAAGGCAGTCCTCTGGAGCAGGGAACTCCAGCCCATGGTTCTGCTGTATGAAGCCCACCAGAACTATTCAGCAGGTCTGCTCTTCTCTTTCCTAACAGACCAGGCTATGGACGGGATCAATTTTCTTGCTGTGGCAGTCCACCGTTAGTTGTCTTGCTCACAGAGAGATCATATGCAAGGGTATTTATATATGTTCTGAGCCACACAAACAAAAACCTCAAGAATCAAGCCTACCACACACACACTACCCAGTCCATCTGCACATATGCTATGAATCCAGTTCTTTAGGAAATGTCAGTTTGTCCTGTGCTGAGTCTTTACACTGGCTTGTTAAAATGACAGAGGGTAGGGGTCACAAAACAGAATAAAATTAGTTGACTGCCCAGTTGGAAAGGTAGGTGCCACTAACTGGGAATAACTCTCAGATGTTTATTAATGGGGAGCATTTGAAGGTACGTACAAAAAAAGAGTCATGTTAGCAGCAAGGAAACACTTTCAATTACTATATTTTTCATGCTTTCATATCTTCTGACCATTGACCATTTCCATCTTTTTGGTCAGGCCTGAAACAGGAATCAATTTTTTCTAGTTGCTGAGACAGACACACATGACTGGATAGGAAAAGGATTTTTTTTAAAGCATGTACAATTGAAATAAAATTTAGTAATGAGAAACAAAGTTCTGTTCTTTTGAAGAACACAGTTCTTGTAATATGAGATCTCCTCTGTAGCTCATTCTCAGGGAAAAATTAGAACATTTTGTCAGGATGCCACACAAGCGTCAGTTCTAAGCATTCCAATCTCTCTCTGCTTTACTGACACCTCCAGCCGAATGAAAATACTGCCTCCTAGAGAACTGTAGAAATTTAGTGAGGTTGGAGAGTACATGCATCTAAACACCAAGGGAAAGTTTCTGCAATTGGTTTTTATGCTTGAATGAGATGACAAGATCAGATTTATACATGGAAAATAGTGGCCCTACCTGGAAGGAAAAGTGTGTAGATGGACAGGATTTGAATAACCTCTGCAATTCTGATTCAGAATAAAGGAAAACCTTAAACAACTCAAAATATTTAATGCTGATGACACTGATGTGGCTTTGTGCTTGAAAAGATAATTGTCATGGGAAATGTGACAAAAATCTAATCTTAGCACAACTTTTTTTGGTTTTGTAATTGTACAACTATTTTAGTTAGCTGTACCACTATTCAGAAAATGGCTGGACATAACAAGAGCTGTTGTAGAAAGGATAAACAACTACTTAGGGATCCAGACCCTTTACCAACTCTGCCGGTACCAGAAAATTTCACTCTGTAAATTCCAGTCTTGAAGTACTTCAGGAGAAGTTATTAGAATTTGAAGAACCAATCCTTTTCATATTTTTGCATTCAGATTCATGAGAAAGTATATACACTTCCAGCATTAAGTGCTTTCCAGAGAGTAACTCACATATGCCAAAATAGCACATGAAGCCCAGGAGTAGATTAATATGCTGAAGCACAAGTTATACAGATAAAGTTTTCATTATAACTTTAGCCAAGAAACATGTTCACAAAAGAAAGTCTCAGAATAGACATCCATATTTTTTTCTTCTTAATTCAATCCATTTAGAAAAAAGCTCCTTCAAAGAAAGAAAGGAGATTAAAGATACAGAGACAAAGCACCAAGGTGACACTGAGCTAGTAAAAAAGAAAACAGAGTCAAACTTCCAGCCAACTGGCCTTTTCTTGCTGCGTGTTTTCCCACTAGTCAATAGAAATCAATTACTACTTTACTTATGTTATTTGACACCAACTTGTTCATTGATCTTTTAATCCCACTGCTAGTAACTGATTTTTCCTTCAACCTTTGTTTTTTGAATTGTCTTAAAATAAACTGCATTCACAATATATAACACAAATTATACACTGTGAAGCAGCCATATCTTCATATAACTGCAGAATTCATTGAAGAATTTCCCCATCCATATTTGACCTATCTGCTAAAAAAAGCACTGAAAGACCTAAGTGACAAATATATTTCAGGAAAAAAAACCCGTGCTATATGACTACAACAACTGTGCCAATTTTAAATGGTAATATTTACAATTCCCCATTAAACTGAGCCAATATTTGCAAATGATTGCTCTGCTAGTATGCAGCACAAACAGATTCTCTCTGTACTATTTATTAATCAATAAACTTAAAATATTTGTCCATATCAGGAATTCACTGGGAACTAAACTTGCTACAAAGTGTTAGCTTTCCTCAGTTTGGAAACTGAAGAAAGCTATATTTTTTGTATTCTGATTTTTTTTTTCCTAAAAAGTAACCTTTCTTTTATAATTGGCTGGACTAAAAGGCCTACAAAATCCAATTAAATCAGTACATACTAAGACTACAGAGGTCTCTAACAGTACAAATTTTTTTCTAGAAAAAGCTTATATGTTGTTGGCATTGTATTCCTTTAAACATAAAACATATTTTCCCTTTGCTCTCTTATTTAATCACGAGCCACTGCCAAATCCTCAATTCTGATTAGATTACGTTTACAAGAATTTGGCTACTAAATTAATTGCAGTAGATTGACTGCTCTTTATCAGTACACCGGAGAATTTCGAGAAAGAGGAACATACAAATGCAGTAATTTTTCATCTGAAAGGAAGTAAGATGTGTGAACAATTAATCCCTCTGGAAAAAAACTCCACATCTATGGGCTAAATACTGAAAAACAAACAAACAAACAAACAAACGGGTTTTAGTATGTCTCCCTGTTTTAATAGGGGGTTCCAAAGCTACTGATGTTTTTAGTTTCTGTGATTTCTCCTGATCAAAAAAATAGAAAGAGCTACCAAGACAGCTTAATTCATTTTGAGGAGCCAGGCTTTCTAGTTTCACTGCTATTTACCAAAAGCCAGTACAATATGTGTAAGCAGGGTAGCACGCTTGGATTATATTGTACTACTTTTGAAATGGTTGTGAGCTGCATCATCTAGACCTTTTTCTGAATTTTCAAAGCAATTATTAGGTAAAATGATGATAGCTGTCAAACCTGACAATTTACCAATCTAATATTTCCAATCAATATTTACCTCTGTCACACTGAAATGAAACCTCTTAACATTTTAGAGATAAAAGGGACGGTTCCTAGACACCTCCTGGTTTCTCGCTGCATAACAGCTGATAAAGATCCTAGATAGCTCAACAGCACCCTACTACTGTTCCCTGAAGCTGCCAGGTGATGATGAAGAGTTCCTCAATAATTCTTGCCTTCTAATATAAAGCACCTTGCACACCGATGGCTTCAGCTAGTTGCTATTCTTGGCACGTCAGTAATAAAAAAAGGCACGTCAGTAATAAAAAGCACATATGAAGGTTGTACTGTCCCATACTACTAATATATTTATGTGTTTGAATTAAATTTGTTTAAAAGCAAGCAATATCAAAAACAAATGTAGTGTACAGTATATTCATGCTAAAAGTGATTTCAAACTATATCTTTCTTGTCAAAGAATTTTTAAAGGTTTGATTTCCCTGTTACTTCTCATTCTAAAGTGATAATTAAAATAAACCCTTTAGCATCATCATATGATTAGTAGCAATAGATATCTGTTGGCATATGTTAGCATAGAAAATAACTTTTTTGATATACTTTGAATTTTTACAAATACACTTTGTGCTAACCTTGTATAAGGCATGTAGTTAAAACAGACTGCAGTAAAGAATTTACAAACTAAACAGACAATACAATGTGTGAAAGAAAGCAAGCACTCTCTAGCCACATGGAAATCAAGCACAAAGAAAAATGAAGATTCAGATAAAAAATGTCTGCAAACCAGCACTCATAACCTTCCAAACAAGTTTCCTAGTCACGAGAATATATAAGCTTCTACTTGCTTTCTTCCCTTCAGTCTCATGTCTTTATTATTTCCATCTCTGTGTGAACAGGAAGAAAGAAAACGGCTCTGCACAGAATCACAGAATGGCTGAGGTTGGAAGGGGCCTCTGAGACATCATCTAGTCCAACACCCCCCTCCTCCCCCCCAAACTCATGCAGGGTCACCTAGAGCACATTGCCCAGGATCGCAGCCAGACGGCTTGTGAATATCTCCAGCGAAGGAGACTCCACAACCTCTCTGGGCAACATGCGCCAGTGCTCTGTCACCCTCACAATCAAGAAGTTTTTCCTCATGTTCAGATGGAAATGCCTGTGTTTCAGTTTGCGCCCATTGCTTCTAATCCTGTCGCTGGGCACCACGGAGAAGAGTCTGGCCCCATCCTCTCGACATCCCCCCTTCAGATACTTATATACATTGATCAGATCCCCCCTTGGTCTTCTCCTCTCCAGGCTAAACAGGCCCAGCTCTCTCAGCCTTTCTTCAGAGGAGAGATGCTCCAGTCCCTTCATCATCTTAGTAGTCCTTTGCTGGACTCGTTCTAGGAACTCCATGTCTCATACTGGGGAGCCCAGAATTGGACCCAGTACTCCAGGTGAGGCCTCCCCAGGGCTGAGTAGAGGGGCAGGATCACCTCCCTCCACCTGCTGGCAACACTCTGCCTAATGCAGACCAGGATCCCATTGGCCTTCTTGGCCACAAGGGCACACTGCTGGCTCATGCTTAACTTGTTGTCCACCAGCACTCCCAGGTCCTTCTCCGCAGAGCTGCTTTCCAGCAGGTCAACCCCCAGCCTGGACTGCTGCATGGGGTTCTTCCTCCTTAGGTGCAGGACCCTCCACTTGCCTTGGTTGACCTTCAGGAGGTTCCTCTCCACCCTTCTCTCCAGCCTGTCCAGGTCCCTCTGAATGGCAGCACAGCCTTCTGGCATATCAGCCACTCCTCCCAGTTTAGTATCATCAGCAAACTTGCTGAGGGTGCACTCTGTCCCTTCATCCAGGTCACTGATGAGTAAGTTGAGCAGGACTGGCCCCAGTATTGACCCCTGGAGGACGTTGCTAGCTGCAGGCCTCCAACTAGACTCTGTGCCACTGATCATAACCCTCTGAGCTCTGCCATTCAGCCAGTTCCCAATCTACCTCACTGTCCACTCATTCAGCCTGCACTTCCTGAGCTTGCCTATGAGGATGTTATCAGAGACTGTGTCAAAAGCCTTGCTGAAGTCAAGGTAGACAATATCTACCGCTCTCCCCTCATCTCTCCAGCCAGTTATTCCATCATAGAAGGCTATCAGGTTGGTGAAATTCAGTTTTTCAGATTGCTGGAGAATTAGGAGAAGAATTAGGAGAAGGATTTGAATGCCCTATGGCCAGGAATTTACACAGACCTCCCATTCTTAAGTTAATGTTCTGACCAACAAGTTACTACAAATCAAAACAAACTTTTATTATTGACATAGCAACTAGCTTAATAAATAGGAATGTAATAAACAGATAACTTAGACATCTGGTATTACACTGGACATAGAAAAAGCAGCTGATATGAAAAACTAGACACCACATATCACATTTAACTAAGATTCCAGCAAAATTTGTTCATGTCACTGCAGGCTAAGGGAATGTGAATATAACACATTTTTCACGGTGCAGAACTTTCCTACTTACTTTTTCCTACTTTACCTTTACTTCCTTTACTTTACTTTCCTACTTTTGGATCTTTTGAAGGAGTACTTAGCCACAATTTCGGTGCAGAATGAGATCAATAGTATTAAGAGAGGCCATATTCGGAAAAAATGTAGCTACATATAATATTCTTACTTGTAACAGATTCATAGCAACCTAAGCCTTTGGATAGGTTTAAACCAAAACCCTTCAGTGTTTCACAATAATGTATTACTTGTACTTATTACTACTGCAGTCCCTAAACTCACTGCTCCTTTCCCTAAACACATACTTCATACCCAGAGCATTCAAATATCATCAAAAATAGAAATCAAAGAATTAAGAAAACAGATATAGGAACTATTCAAAATGCCAGCTTCAAAACAGAAAATTTGGAAACTCCTCTATGTATGTGAGTGACTAACAATAATTTAAAATGCTTTCTTACAAGTTCTATGTGATCATATACTGGAAAAAATCTTTTAGCTTTCTACAAAAATAAAGCTGTCCAGTGTAAATGAAATTTCTATTTTTTTTACATGTATCCTAATAACAAATCGTCAAGCTAAAACATAATATATGTTTTGTAACTTAGTAAGTCTTAAGATAAAACAATCGCCAGTGTACTGAAATGTACTGACTGCTTCAGCCTGTTGGCAACGCTAAAGGCAGCGGAACTTGGACAGGTTGATGCAGGCAGTAAAAAAAAAAATCCTACAGGATTTTTTTCTTACAACACAGCTACCACAAGTACATCAAGTCTATGCTCCAATTTCTTACTGTTTTTTCATAAAATTTGGAACTAAATTTAAGATCTCCATCTGTATCTTTCCCATTACGGAAAAGTTCAATTTTCAGTGAGATACTTCTGAAGTGCTGGGATGAAGACTGTGGTTATTGCTATGTTCCTCTGGGAAAACAACTTAGAACAGTACGAAGGACCACCTACTGTGCAAAAGAGAAAGCTTCCTTATAGGCTGCTCCAAAATTATAAGTAAACTGAGGACACTAAGGATCCCACCTTCTGCTACAAGCAGAATGTTCACTTCTTTGGCCTTACTTTTATGTATATTTAAAATATAGTATTCCAACTACAGAAAGATGTTTCTCCTAGCAAGAAGAAGAGAACAGAGAAAGTAAGTTGGCAGCATGAGCCTAATGAGCTACAGAAATAGATACCTTAGTAGAAACTGGAGTAGCAACAACTCTATAAATAAATGAGAAAGAAGTACTAACCACATTAAAGAACCTTTTAGTATACAGAATGTTATGTTTATCTTGTTGCAACAAAATCTTCCAGTCCTTACAAAAAATTCACAGCTGTCCTCTCCACCCTTTTCCATATTTTTAACCTTAAAATAAACCAGTTTCCAGAACTGAATACCGCAAAGGTATTACCATGGCCACATAAGGAAGTAAAATTTCATTACTGTATTTACTATTTTTTCATTTATAGCACTTTACAGAAAGCAGTCCAAAGCTCTCTGATTTCTAACTTATTTCAATGGGTGCAAGTCTCCCAGATGAGGGTATATGCCCTCTTTTGATCTGATTTGCTGGTTCCATGGGGACCACACAGTTTTGTCATCAGTTCAAACCAACCTAGGACAGACTTTAAGCAACTGCAATATTCTTGATTTTAAAAATGAGCCTTCATAAAACAAAGGCTTGGAGAGCAAGAGCAAGTTAGAGCATAACTGCCTGCCCCACAGGTCAGTTCCTGTTTCCACGCTGTCATTACCTCAGTTGTGTCAGCAGAACAGCAGGGATGATTCTGAATAAAACTAGAGATCTCACTTAAGGGAAAAAACTAAACAAAACTCCCAACAGCAACCTCTCCCTATCCTTTTATTATGGCAGGTATTAAGATGGGGTTTCACTGGAGGGGGTAGAAATGAGCAATGGAAAATCAGAATGCTTTAGGCTACTATTTCCATTGAAGAGCTATTCTTGCAATTAAACCACAGCTTAATTATATCTAGGTTCCTATTTGAACTGCTAATGTCATGCCTTAAATAATGTAAGAAACTTCAGTTATTCATATTTTTGTTTCACAGTCTTTGTTATGTTACTAGCTTTTAAAATGGTATCATACACCATCTATTACCATACTTGTCATCTGTGCAATTAATGTTTGGTCTAATATGGCTCTCTAACACTGCCAGTGTTCAGTAGTCTACTACCATAGGGCTGCTCTTCCTATGGGGGCCAAAAGACTTTATGTGGACGTGAGACTGTCGTTGCTGCTTTTATCACTTCAACAACTTCACTCTTGATACAAAGAGAAAATTAAATCTTTAAAAAAAAAAAAAAAAAGAAACTTTTAAACTTCATTCTACAGTCCAAAAGCACTGCTGCTTTTACTATTCTGAAGGTGCGTTTTGGATGTGTTCTTTTGATTGTTATACAAATATCTTACTATCTGCTTGAAGATAAAAATTAGAATGTGAACACATCACAATTATTTAATTCTGCATCACAAAAGACAAATTAATTTTTAGTTTCTAAAAAAAGTTTTAAAAAAGCAAGTTTGAAGTATTTTAAATGGCATAGGATGTTCTGACCTTTTATAAACAGACGACAGACACTTTAAACACACATTCATAAGCTAATACGAAGTTACTTTGAACTGTAATAAACTTACCTGTGAGCTGGTATTCTACGATCGCCAGCAACTAACACCACATCGCACAGCTGTTTGTGTCTAAGATAGTTCTCCATCTTTTTAAAAGTTTGTTCAGCATGGTTGAGAGCCTGAAAAAATTCATCTGATGTACAGGGCTCCATAGTTTGGAAAGATGATAAAGTATGACTGCTGTTGGAGGTTCTGCTGAAGACAAAAACAGAAGCCTTAGTTCAGACAGTATTAAGGTGCAGTGATTCAGATGCTAAAAGGAAAAATCATATGTGATTTTAAAATTGATGTACATGATTTGTGTTAATATATATTCCCTTGCTGTTTTATTTCTTTTCATATTCATACTTTCTTTGTTTTTCCAAACTGAATCCAGACTTCTGAAAACAGGTAGAATGGTCTAATGCTGTACTCTACAAGCAATACACAAAGATCAGTCCAGAAATTACACCTAAACGGCTGTCAGATGGTGGAGGAAGAACAGGCATCTACCAAGACCCTGCAAAGTGAAAAAGCAACAGAAGGATGCAATAAGGAATTGCCTCTCTTCCTGCCACCCTGTCCCACATTGAAGTCTTACATGATAGCTCAAGTTGACTAAAACAAAACTAAGCATATCTGGAGCTAGTGCCAGGGAACGCGCATACAGGCAGAAATGATACATCAGGAAACGCATCAATACACCACCACTCCTACTGCACGAAGCTTGAAGTTTCTGAAATGAGATCTAGCACAATAGAAACTGATTTTAGGGGAAAGCAAGGGTGCATAGAGAGAAAAATTATTCCTGTGCATACACAGAGCAGCTTGCGAAAAAGAGAAATACAGAAGAGTTAACTGGAATGCAGGGACCTAGGACACAAAACAGCTGAAACGTAAGATCCTAGGACATAAAGAGCTGAATCCTAGTCATAGACGCTGAGGTAAGCCCAACTTTTCTTGCTCACAATTCTTTAACTGACTACTCCTCACTTCTCCATGCAGGTAACATTTAAAAAAAAAAGTCATCTCTGGGCCTACCATAGTAGTTGGAAAGACCAAAGATGTTAGGAACTTAGGCAGTACACTCGGGGCCAAATCCACTGAGCAACTTAGCTAGATATTAATTCCAAGAGGCAGCTCCTCAAAAATCAAAATCTAATTTTTCAGTGAAAAAGAATTCTAAAGTTTTTTTTGTATATGTGCCCAGATAACTAAAAAGGCCAAGCAACCTGGCATTTAATTCAAACCTAAATCTAGTACTGGATCAGAAATGAGATGCCTGTCTGCCTACCTACTCCCCTTGAAGGACTTTTATCTTAGGCATACCCTCTGAAGTGGTGGTTTGGCATTTATTTAAGCTGCATCAACTTGTACATGAGACTGCTCCTAGGAAACCTAGGGCTGAACTATTTCCATAACAGTTCCCATCCCTTAAGAGTCACTTGCTCTGCTCCACTACTACCCCTTTGATGTGCTGGAACAAGTGTTCTTTGTGGCCAAGTGCAGAACTGAATCAAGGAACTGATACACCTGAAAAATAAATAAGAGAAGGAAAGAGTTACCTTTCTAACATAGCAATTCCTTGATCTGATTCACCATGAAAATACAAAAAACATTATACTGGCGAAAGTGGGGGGGCATTGTCACAGAGCAAGTACTCAGGAAAGCAATTCTTTACACCAGCAACCCTGCAAAAGGAACAGAAGTGGAGCAAACAGGCTGCTACTCAACACGAAAACGCCCAGGAAATTCCTGTTCCCTATTATATTCCCAATAGTGTTGCTGTATGTTTTTGTTACCTATTAATACCCCATTAATTACCACCATTAATAATGACCCCAAAAAAACCCACTTTAAATCCATGTGATATTGGTGATCTGGTTTACTCTATCATCTCAAACAGTTGTGCAGATACAACTGGAAGAAGTAACAAAATGTTGTATGGAGGAGGAAAAAACTTTAAGCCAGCAGTTTCCCAGACCACATCCTGACTAGAACTATTGTCTGGCCCCAGACTGCACGTTTGTACATTCTGCATAAAACGCTGCAGCAGTCACCACTTTTATTCAATAAGGAAAACAATCGCAGTGGTGCTATTTGCCATGAGCCCATGATGAAGCACCTGTTCAAGACACAACAGAGCCAAATTCAGCTCTTCCCCTTACTTGAAGTTCAGTCCTGTAACTGTCCTCTCTTCTAGCCACAAAGTTACAAACCATTTTTCTACTTTATAAGGAAGAGAGAGATGGATGAGGGGAGAAAAGAAAAGAAAAGGAAAAAAAGACTAAGCTTCAGTGGTCCATAAAGAAATCATGAAAGAAGAGTCTAATAGTTGAGATACTTGCACAGAAGAAGAGATGTAGACTCAAGGGCTATTTATGCATATTACCCAATGACTGGTTAACAAAAATTCAAATCCTCCTTCCTCCTAGACAGTCATATGAATCTATTTCTACGTTCAGTTCAGCAGAGCCACAGAGAAGAGAGCTTGGGAGTATATACAAGCAGGGGAAGAACAGAGGAAGGGAAGGATCTGCTTTCTCTCTCCCAGCAGTAGTACTGAAATGCATGAATAATTTTTTTGGCCTACATCTCTCCTACCTAGAGGAAGGAAACCTAAATATCTAACACCAAACTTTAATTTCGCACTTGGAACAAACATCTAGCTTTTAGGTACTGCAGCACTGCGAACCCCAACGGTTCTTCTCCTTTTGTATTTTGAGTCTTGACTCAGGTGTAGCTTTAAATATGACATAAGTTTTCCCTCCTGTAGAGTGGACGTACTGTTACTTTTGTATGCCTCACATGTACTAAGATAATTAAACTAAAAATTGAAGCTGTCACAGCATGGAATAGGTAAGTGTATCAAAGAATCCTTTTGGCATATTCCTTTAAAAAAAAAAAAAGGCAGATATGCAGTATTTTTAACACATTTAGTGGAAATATTTTTACAAATGTCTTAAAATGATAGTCAGTAGGACTTCTTTTTGTAGGCTTAAACTTTTAACACTCCTGGTTTTTTTGCTTTCCCTATTTATGTCAAAAGATCCTATCTAGCACTGACTAATTAACAATTCATTAATTACAGTAAAATTTTAAGATGCAGTAAAATTTTAAGAATTTTAAGATTTAACAGTTACTCTAAAGACAAGATCTTTCCCACATTAGTGACATATTTTACTGTCCTGGCGACAAACTTATTAATGCACTAAAGATGCTAGCTTTCCTTAACTTTCCTGTCTACTAAGGAATTTATATGTCAGTAGACCTTTTTGAAACCAAAACTATGTACAACGCATGCTATAAAATCATTCATTTCTAAAGCTTTTTATTTCTGGAAGTAGGATGTTTGGAGTGAAGAGTTTCTGCCCAATAAAACAACTCATTGCAAAGCAATGAAGCAATTGACTGACTGGTAGTAAAATGGTCATAAATGTGTTTCAAAAGTAAATAGCGTACATGATGACTGGAGAGCTGAATTCACATCTCTGTTTCAGGATTCATTGTTGTAGCAATGCCACAGCAGTCTTCAAAGTTTAAAGAAAAGAAACAAAACAAAACACACACAAGCCTTCTTTCCTCCCACCTTTACTAAACTCTCTCTTTACAAGAGGAGAGAAGCATCAGCGTTTCTCGGTTTTTGTGAGAGAGAATCTGTTCCTGTTAACACAATTTATACTGTTATTTTAATTATCTGGAAGTACTGAGATTCATTTTAAAGGAGTTACAATGGTTATTTTATAGCAATCACATATTACTTATAACCTATGAATTTCAATGAATACTAACGCTGGTTACAAAAAAAAAGGCTGCAAAATGCTTTTTTTCAAGCATTTTATTTCATGCTCTGCATTTTAAATCATCTTAAGAAGGTATCTTTTAGGCTAAATGTCTCCATGTTGATCTTTGAAATAAAAATCAAGCTGGAAAGACTTCATTATGACAAAAAAACCCTGAGCTTCAAGAACAAAATCTGAAATCTGATATGAATTTTAAGACCAATTTTTGTCTGAAAAACAATTGTGTGTGAATTTACTTTTATTTAAAACTGCCCTATTTTTAAAATCAGTTCACCTGATTCAACTGCAACCTTCTCTGCACTTCCAAAAAGTCAACATCTTCAAAAGATAATATGCATGAGCATATCCTGTTCTAAGATCCTGTGAAGCTGCAAAAATGTAATTTTACTGCAAAATAAAGGTGACACGGTTAGATTGCAGGTATGTAGTACAGATGTTGACCTTACGTAAGTACCACCTCGACTATGCTGAGATGCCACAGCAAGTTACAAGTGAAAGCTTACCACAGTGCATAAAGTCACATTCCTTTTGAAAGGGGCAACATGTTGGAAGTGCAACTTGTTACCAGAGCCTTGACTGGAAAAAAGGAGTCAAACAGTAGTACAATGGGATTTCTATCTACAAAATCATGATGGAGACAATGCCCTAGATGTACTGCTACTGCATTCATTCAAATTGCTCTTTTATGAAATCAACAAATGAAGTCTGTTTTTCAGAAGATCTGTATCCTCCGTCCCCTCGCTCCACTCCACCACCACAGCTCTTCTCCTTTCCTCTCTGTTCCTTAAGGCATCTCTTAACTAAAGACAGGAAGCCATACACTGTGCTAAACAGCTAGCTTCGCAAGAGATGAATTCTGCCAGTTCTTCAGTGGAGGCAGTTAAGTTGGATCTCTCTCCGTTAACTAGTTGTCATTTGCAGGGGTTAAATCAACTGTGAGACTTCTGCATACTCTGAAATTAGGCTGAAAGTGGCCACGGGTTCTCACGTTACCAAGGAAAGGGCAGAAGTGACGAAGAACACAACTGCATAAATTCAGTCCCTTTAGGAAACTAGATTAAAAGTGAATGCTCTGCCTACCCTACCAAAACTACCCCAACCCAAATGAATTTTGTAGATATACTCCAAACAGCGCAAAATGGGGGTTGTAGCAGTAATAACCTGCGCATAGAAGTGGTACAAGTCCTACTTACAAATGTGAATTTCTGTAACGCAAACTGGGTTTAAATTAAGGCATTAAAAGCAATAAACTCTTGTAGAACTGTAGCAATGGAAAAAAAACCCACTTCTCCATTCTCCTCACCACTGTTTCCCATGAACACAGCATTTTTTCCTCAGTGAACAAAGTAAAACTGCTCTCAACATTTTAAATCTGAATTCATGCATTAATATTACTTTTAAGAATATGACACT